CATGGCCGCTATTGGGCAACATAATTTGATGACAGCGTCTACACGCAGTTTGGCTTTTTCAACGTGACATGCTGGTGTCGACTAGCGTTGCATCGATTAAGCCTCCACTTGGGGAAAAACCATGTCTTGGGCATGGCCACGGCTTAACGACATCATCATGAAACTCTGCTTGATGACAGCGTCTACATGCAGTTTCTAGTAGCAGAAGGGGAAGCAACGATGCGGCCTAAACGGGTGCAAGAATCCAGGTGTGGCATCATGGTCCTCCTCCACGAGTTTGGGCTCCTCCAGGCAGATCCTAAAGAGCAAACTGTTCGCATTTTTTCAGAGGAAAAAGTTGCAGCTAAAACATGACTGATGCAACCACAGAAAGGGCTGTGCAGAGCTCGCGAGCATCATCAGCTGTGTTTTTGGGAGTTTGGGGTTGAATCTTCCAAGTACTTGCGAGCTTTGACCTGCAATCAGTGCCATTTGTTGCAGGCTATTTTGGACCTGCTTGAGCAGTGTGGTAATGTATGAGTACTATTTTATAGTGAAGCTTGCTTGTAGACCTTGAATTTGAACTTCACATCAGCAATGGGGATAAGCTGTATGGTGCAGGTCCCATTACGGGCTGTCGGTCTTTCTTTCATAAAACCCCATACGATAGCACGATATAATAATATCATATACTATAATATATTGCATCATACTATACGTTTATGCTATAATACACTACAATATACCACAGCATAATATGCAATGACAATTAATTCGAGTTCGCAGGTTGACTTTCAGTCGGGTACTGATCGTCGGCTGGTCGCGCCGCCGAAGCCAGAGCTGAAGCTTGAGGCTCTGCCCTAGAGTATGATAGTAGCATCATGTAGTATATTGTAGTAAATTCTTGCATAGCATTGTAGTGTATTTCCGTATAATAGTATAGTAGATTGTAGTACCTTATAGTACACTATACCGTATTATATTATGCTTGTGTAATGTAGTATATTACAGTAGACTGAAAGCCCAGCAGCATAGGCAGGGCACTTAGCATGTATAGCTCCACGTACATGAAGGCAGGAGTACATATCTCCGAATGGTACCTAAAATATGCAGAGTTGAGAAAGCAGACTTCGATTATGCGTCCAAGGCTGGCAGTTTCGGGGATCATTTGCACGGCTGATGTGACTTCTTTTCTTGCCTGCTGTTGTGGAGGTCAGGCATCACATTGCAAGCGCCAGAAGTTCAAAGATATGCTTCTAACCTTCTCCACGAAGATTATCTGTTAGCTTGTATGCTGCAGCTGCGAGACGCACCTAAGCCAGTCGCAGTGGCAGTTGTGGTTGTTGTTGGTGGTGGGGTTGGTGGTCCTCGCGCTCGCAAGAGGAAGTTCCGGTCCTGTGGCCCAATGGCACGCTGTTCTCGCCAGTTACTTGGACGGCAACGTTTGGGTTCGATTACATGCAGGGTTTAAATGACTCCTGTTTCGGGGCTGCATTTTGTTGACCAGTGTTGACATTTTTTTTTTCCGATCACGGTGTCTGCATGCTTGAGCTTGGTCCAGCTCCGGGTGTGCTGGCTGATTAAACCTGCCATGTCTCAATTCACTCCACCCTCAGCGCATATACCCTTATCCCACTTCTTGCACAACGTCGCAGGCCAACCATTCCGAATGATTCAGGGTTTAGGATTTAGGGTTTATAGGGTTGCTGTGGATTTGAGATGAGGTGTGAACACGTGGTCGGTCTGGTTGACTGGTTCCAGTTGTTTAGCAAAGGATTCGTGTTTCCCTGTTGTGTTTACGAAACAAGGCGCAACATTGCATGACACTAGCGTTGCGATAATCGTTTTTTGCATGACAATCCTGTGTTCAGCTGTTTTGGAACGTTGTCAAACATGATCTTGCGAGTCGTGAACGCATGCGGCACATATCTTTCTATTTCGATTCTGCTCGTTGCCACTTGCATTGCTGCAAGGCATTGTCTATCTAGTTTAGGGATGCACTGCTCGCGGCACAGCGAGCTAGCACGAAGGGAAGCGAACGCCCTCTGAATATTTCGTGTGCGTGGAGGCAGGTTCCGTAGTTTCCTGTTGGTACCCGTAGCTGATAGCAAACTCCTTTGGAATTTCGGCATGCGTGCCATAGAAGACAGACATCTAGGTGTTGCGGGGGACATGCTCAGATCAGGACGGTATCGTATTTGCAAGCATTCACGGAGCCACCAGGTGTTCGCGTCATTACGCAGTAGATCAAAATTTAAAATCAGAGAATTGAATGAAAAGAAGTGCTATGACAATGGGATTATAACACATCTTAAGAGCTGAAATAATTCGTATTCGTAGGCAGGGGAAGCACAGAAATTTGGATGTGATGCCGAAGACGGGAAAGTTCAAAAATCCGTACAATGGAACCCAAAGATAAGAACAATTATGCAAGAGTGGGGTAGTTATAGTAGAACGAAGGTTGTGTCATGGGGTGCTGCTCGGTCGTTCAAAGTCAAGTTGAAACATTACAGGAACAAGTGCGTAAGCTAAAATGAAGAGGTAAAGGCAACAGCAATGTGCAAGTGGAGCACGAATAACCAAATCAGCCAAAACAGCTACTGGTGAGGGTATACAGTGCAGGAAGCGAAAAACCACATAATTAGCTTGTTCTCGTTCGTGTAACTGAGGATGGAGGGAGATGTAAATGAAAAGTTTCATCAGCAATTTGATGCCGCATCCATGCTGTACATAGAATACCATGTTGCCATAGCTGCCATCTTCAGAAGAAACTAGACGAGCGCAAATCACAAGGCGTACACTTTCCACTGTTGCAATGCTTGTCTTTGTTCTTGCTTGCATCTATATATGCAACATATTTAGATAAGATGGTTGTATCTTCATTTGTATCGGGCACAGACTTGCGGAGTACACAGCTGAAACAACAAGGCAATGGCTTAAGTCCGCGAAGACATGTAGAGAAGTATTTGTTCACGGGTAGGAGCACGCAAAAATGAGAAACACTAGCTGCAGAAGATGCAGAAGCATCTCCGTAAACCTGCTTTTTACCTGTGATACTCCAACGCATGTTGACAAAAGGTTGAACGCGCAGTGATCTAAAATTTTCATACAGAAGGCAAGAGAAGGACGCTTCCGAGGCAGTCGTGACGATGACAAACCCCATTAATCAAGAGTAATTGTCAGTTGTCAGACAGTTGTCCCGGCCCAGTAATTTGGTACAAAAATTATGGACCCATGAACTGACGGGGAAAGAAACGAGAAGCAAGACCTACTGTAAATATCGCGGTTGTGATGTCCCTTCAAAATGTTAGAGAACAACCATGTGGAGAGCAAAGGTGCTAGATCGAACAATGCCAGAGACTTTACCATAATGGGTATAGATATATGTAGGATATATACATGGTATATATGGGTATATACATATAGGGTATATAGGGAAAAATATATATATATATGTATATACATAAAAAGGGTATGTAGGGTAAATAGAGAACTGACAACCTATTTGACAAGGACTCGCTGCCACTCTTAACTCATGAAAACTATCGCGCTTTTGAAGAGTACCGTTAATGCATCTGTGCCCTGGCCAAGATGTGCGCAGGTTAGGAGAATCAAGTCGTGGCAGAGCGATCCTCGCCAAAAACAGCAGAACAGAGCATTCACACATATTCAGAAGAAACATTGGTGAATGCTACACATGCACTGGAATTACAAACATCCTTCTGGCTGTCAATCCTGTTCTCAGAAAAAGCCGCACCTAAGTACGTTGGCAGCTTGACGGAAGGATACAACTCGTCATATAGACATTTACAAGTAACATACAGACTTTACTCATTCAGTTTAGTCCAGCTCTGTCAAGCAGTACGCGGCCCAGTTCAGGGGTAGGGGTTCATCATGATCCCATACCCCTGAACTGGGCCGGTTCATATTAGGTTTCCGCTGAAGGTGTTGCAAGATTATGTGCAGAGGCTTCCATCATCTACCTATTCAGGTTACTATGATGGTAATGTCAGGGATGAGGTGTACGCGGTGAGGGTTTGGGTGAAAATGGGATTCTGGGATAAAGGCGCGCGTGGGGGTCTGTGGGTTAGGTGTGGAATGAACTGGCAAGTGGAACTTTCTACCCATTGACCGCTCAATGGCTTTGAGGCCTCAGCAGGTTGTAGTAGCGCGAAGCACATAGAAGCACCTGAATAGCTTCCGGGCGCACGGATAGCAGGCGGTCATGGCCATGGATGTCTGTGATTCTTACTGGCTTGCAACAGGGACTAAGGGACTATATCATATAGGGATTATTTAGGGATCATATTCCCTTACTCCCTACTCACCTCCATATATGCCCTACTATAATGTAGTAATTTCCATTTTCTTTTCCACTACCCCTATAGTCCCTTATTGCTTACAAACTCTAAACCCTACATAACCCCAATATTCATTAGGGATTATAGTCCCTTATTCCCTATACCTATTCCCTACTAAGAACCAGGAAGGATTGGATGCTTTTGAGCCGAGGCTGCCGTGCACTGCCCGGCCACTGCCTCGGAGCCGCTGGTCCTGGCGAGCCCCACTGCGCTCTTTCAGAGCCAGACCCAGGAGGATGAGAATCCAAAAGAAGGGTTTAGGGTTTTATAGGGTTTAGGGTTTCGGGAAAAGGTTTTGGGTTTGTCAAAACAATTCAGAAAGGTTTAGGGTTGTGGGTTTGTAGTCCAAAGCAGTTTAGAAAGGTGTAGGGCTTAGGGACTAGAATCCAAAACAGTTTAGCTTTGGGGTTCTTAGTAGGGAATAAGGAAGAGAATCCCTATAATCAGAATCCCATTGATATAATGTACTCCCTTGTTCCCTACTAACAACCAGTAAGTCAGAAGGGTTTGAGGGACATTCGGTCAGCTCCCTAGGACTTTGAGGCTATGGGGTTGAAGGGCTTGGAGGTTTGCGAGCTTTAGGATCAATGGCCTATCCTAGGGATAGTGGAAAAGAATATGGAAACTACTATAATATAATAGGGTTTGTAAAGGGGTTATATAGGGATATGGAAAAGAGAATGGAAACTATTGTAGTATAATGGAGTATAGTAGGGTCAACTTAGGGTTATATTGGGGATATGTGGGGATAGTGGAAACGAAAATGGAAACTACTGGGTCTTAAACACACGCGGAAGACCCCAACCCGGTTGCAGGCTCTGTTCTTTTTCTGTGCGTGGTGCCCGTCTTCCATGTGTGATGCCGAGAACTCTTATTTGCTTACACATTACTGGTAGAGTTGTTGAGGATGCCCTGATGGTTACACATTGAGATCAGCTACAGCAAGTGGTCTCCGTTATTGTCACTGCTCAGGGCAGGGCTTTATCACGCCAAGGTGATTCCGATCGTATGTTTCGACTGGTGGCTTTAGCATGCTGTAGCCTGACTTCAAAGTCAGATTCAGTCTCAGCTAATCCGCCGGCCCAAGGAATCAATCCCAGCAACTCTAAGCCCGCAGCTCCCGAAAGGAGCCCTTGCAGTTCGAGTTTCTGGCCACTGTGCGGCTTCCACGGGGATCCGCATGGCTGACGGCCGGAGAAGGCCAGGTGTTTACTCAGGGCTTCAGGCTTTGAGAGCGGCAAGGCTGTTGTGACAACGTTCTTTTACGGACACAGGGACGGGGAGTGCTTGGAGAGTTCGGGCTTCGGATTCATACGTCATTGAATCGCAAGCCCGCTCACCTTAGGCTTTGAGTAGCCACCCCTGATAGTATTTCACACGGATCCCAACGAAAATTCAAGCGTAGTATCACCACAGTCGTAGCAGTGCGTGAGGCAAAGCCCTGCAGCCGTATCCCATGCAAATATGGGTCTTTGTGACATATTCTTGTGTTCCCCCTACAGTAGTTGCTCAGACCAGCACCAAAATGATGACCACATACCGTTTCCCTGTCCCGAACAATGCCGGAAAGGCAAAATTATCTAGACGATTTCGTTCATCCCAATTATATTTATCCAGCATGAGTACTATTCGTTTCCATTGTTGTGTTGTTATTGCTGCCGCTGCTTGTCTGCAAGAGATGCCAAGATTGAGTAACAGGCGATTTTTCAAGTCCAGCAGTTGGGTCCCATGAAAGTCTTTGACATTTAGGTTTGTTTATCAGTATTCTTTGCAGTCTGCTAGGATTCATCAGACTCCGCATGTGTCATTCTTACAATGGCCTTAGATATCCTGAGACATCATCCTAGCAATCCTTCTGCAACACATATGATCCCGTGAAACTTTGTCGTCGTCGTCGTGGTTGTTGTTGTTGTTGTGGTGGTGGTGGTGGTGGTGGTGGTGGTGGTGGTTGTTGCTGCTTTTGCCTTTATTCTTACATGTTTGTTGCAAATTGCTGTTCATATCAATAATATTGTGACGTCAAGAACAACGCCGCCGCCGACGACGATGATGACGAGATATGGCGAGCAATACTGTTATTGTCCGTTTCATTTTCCATGATTGGGGACATATGGGGATCGTCCAAAAACCCATGTTTAAGAATTTATAAGCACGGGGACGCATGATGCAAAAACACTGTGGGCGAAAGCTCGCGAATGGGCGGCGAAAGGTTCGCGAAAGGTTCAAAAGTCAGTCCCAACCACTTT